TGACAAATCTATTATTTAGAATATAATATATTCTGCGATTATGGAAAGGGTTTTTTTTTAATTTTAAGTATTTGATATTTAAAATTTACTATTCTGACTAATTCAAATTTGAATTGTAGGTGGAGTAACTCCTAAAGAGTAAAACGATTCCTATTTAAAAGTTTAAATTATTATAAAATATAAATATCTAATTACTTAATTATACTATAGTACAATGTGTATTCTCTTCACTCGGCCATTTTTTTCTATGAGATTTGAACTCATGACTTCGTTTTCATACTATGTCAGTATTGTATGAACGGTTACATAAAGAGCACATATTTCCTATTGAAATTATCTTCATTTTGAGGTTTTCGAAATTCGAGAAATGTCTGACTAAGGGTGAATAATTCTCCTCATTTCATCATTACTCCGTGGTGATGAAAAGTCGAAAATTATCGCACAAAAATCAATAATTCTTTTTTTTTTTGTATAACTTATTTAACCATCTTCAAAACAATAATTAAATTATATATGTTTAATTAAGTTGCCTAATTAGAATGTTTAGTTTGTCTTATCGTAATGGTTGGGAACATTGAACTTAGCTTAATATCTAGAAGCGTGCTTACTAAAAAGCACAAAGTTTCCTCTTAAGTTTAAATTTCATAATTAAATAATTAATTAGTATTAAGAATATTAGGATATTAATAAAATGACAATGAAAAAAAGGGTATCCATTTTGAAATATATATATATAATTAAAATACAATTAAGGAATCATGAAATTTAATTCAAATACTAATTAATCATGCTTAATTCCTGTTTGTTGCATGTGGCATGCAGTATAATTATAGGCACCTAATTAAGCAATTGACTTCATCTAATTAATTAGTAGTAGTTTGTTAATTATAATTTATCAAAGTTATATGAAATTGATTAATGTGTTCCTAAGTTATGCGTACACAATGTACAATCAATTATTTAGTAATTTTTATTAATAATTAGTTCGATTCATAACTCCAAATTATACAAAACTTATTAGTGTGTTTTTAAGTTATGTGTACACTGTGTACAATTTAATAATAAATTAAAGATGAAGATGACAAAATAGACTATGAAGTATAATGTACAAAATTATTTAGTAATTTTTAATAATAATTAATTAGATTTGTAATTTCAAGTTGTACAAAATTGATTAATATGCACAATTGATAATTAATTAAAGGTGAATATGGCAAATTGATATGGAGTATAATGTACATAATTATAAATTAAAGGGCGTGCAACTTAGATGCATAATAAAAATTATTAAAATTATTACTATCTAAATAAAATATAAAAAGAATTAGGTGGCTATGATTCTTCCTTAACACATAACTCGAGGTTAACGACGCAATAATAAAATGTTAATTAAGTAACATTATTATGAAATATTGTGCTGCATAAATACAGCCTATAAACAATATTATACTTTCTTCGTTTTAAAATATTCGTTAAATTTTTTAAATTTTTTTAAAATAATATATTTATCTCTATAAAATAGATATAAGATTATATATACTCAATCTCTATACTCTTATGAAATTAAACTATGCATGTTCGTATTTTTCATTTACACACTCGATAAAAAATTAGGAGCAGTATTTGACTCTCTTTATTGAATATTTCTTCTATGTGTTATAATTGAAATATTTTTAATTTTAAGAACAATTATAATTAAGGTTAAAATAAGAAAAATAATTAATTTTATCTTCAATCTCTAAAATAACAAATATTGTGAGATACTCTCTCCGTCCGAAATTGTTTGTCATATTGCGTTTATCGAAAGTCAATTTGACTAATTTTCAAAGGTAAATCGAATCACATTAATTCGATATTTTAAACAAAAAAATTAGATATTCTAAAACTATATGAAAAATACTGTAAATTACAATTTTTTGCATATTAATATTATGAAAAAATACATCTTAAAATATTAGTCAAAGTTTTTATAGTTTCACTTTAAAAATAGAAATCATGACAAATAATACCGGACGGATGAAGTAATTATCAGTACTCCCTCTGTCCTTATTTAGTTATCCACTTTACAAGTGGCACACATATTAAGGTATCAATTATTATCATATGTTAGTTATAATTTTATCCTTAACTTAAAAGATTATGTAACTCCCCAAATATAATAAATATATTTTCTGGTTCTAAAAAACATGCATTACAACTTAGTAGTACTAGAAATTTTCTAGAATTAAATAAAGGTATATTAGAAGAAAAAAAATTACTATCCTTTTTTGATTTGTTAAAATGAACAAATAAATAGGAACAAATATAAAAAAAAACATGGACAAATAAATAACGACAGATGGAGTATTAATTTTAAATTCACATTTCACAATTAGAATTATTAAAGGAAATAATTATGGAAGGTTACACATGCCTCAAGGCATGCTTTGGTTCCTATTAAACAAACCCCATAAAGACAAATTATAATTAAATTTTTTTAATTAAAAAAATGAATGAGCTAGTAAGAGAGATTAATATAATTAATTGTCTAGTGTTTTATCAAGTCCCAAGAACATGCAATTTCATGGGGACTAACAAAATTCTTAGAGCATGATGAGAAGGATTAATTTAGAGAAAGCCAAAAAGTAATACAAAAAGGGAATTTTGTTGCTTTTGATCTTTGCTACATGCAAAATTACAAAGCCCTAAAAAGTTTAATTTTTTTTTAAAAAGTTTTAATGCATACTTAGATATAAACAAACCCCTCACTAAAAACATATTTTTGGGGCATTGAAATTGTTCTTTACTTTTCACATTTATAATGTTTGATGGGTATGTACTTATTTTGATTAATTTATTTTAGAATTTTAAGATTAAAGTTATTAATTATTTTTAATATCAAAGAAGTATGTAGAAAGAATATTTTAAGATGAGAAAAAAAATTAATCTGCCTTTATTAAATATGAATAACTCAATAAAACCAATATTATTTATTATTTTTCTTTATGAGTATAAAAGAGTTAAAACAACAGTTAAAATGAGATAAAAAAATATTTATCTTCTACTAGCACGAGATACTTTGTAAGTGTATACTCGATATGTATTTGTCTTCACTTAAATTCAAACTCTAAACTTTAAAATTTATACATATTTCATCGACTATTAGATTACGCTATATGCATACCCTTTTCTAAGTTATTGAAATGGGGTACCTCAACTTCCAAGAATGTACTACACACATTGTAATAATAATTTATGTTTTTTGTTGCAATAAATTCATGGATTTTGTACAGTAAATAGACATAAATCTACTCTACTACTATAGTCTAAAAAACACTTTAATATTTACTTTATCTATTTTAACAAGTTAAGAAAGAACAAAAAGAAAATTTTATTATATTTTTATTTAAATTTTTTGAAAATTTTTAAGTTTTAATTCATCCTTTTTGAAGTTATATTTAATAAGGATAGAATTGTAACTTCACTATGTTAATTATTAATATGTGTGTCTTTTCTAAAGTGGACAACTAAATAGAGAATGAAGGAGTAATAATAACGATAGTACTTGTAACTCTCTATTATTACATGTCAGTATCAAATAATTGAAATTTTTCATTAATCATTAAACATAGGTGAAATTCATAATTGAGTATAGTGTACTATTAACAATAAACATGTTGAAGTAAATGATCAATACTCTATTTAAGGGGGTGGGGGAAGAATATTCATTTCCTTCACTTTTTTTTTTACATCTTTGTAGAAATTAATTTAGTATCTATTTTCTAACGTTACACTCAAATAATGAGTCTTCAATAATTTGATGACTTCAGGTGCAACTTCTATTTAGATTTTCGATAACTCATTCGATTCGACATATTGAGATGTTTATCTCAAAAGGTCATTAATGTTTTAATGAAATTGGACTTTATATGATTTCATAGCAATACAACAAAAAAAATTTTAAAAAAAAAAAATTACTCAATTGCCCAAAAAATTCTCAATTGCCCTTTAATTATTTATAATATTGAATTTTCTTAAAAGTAGTGTTTATGTTTTTTCACATTTGGTCCCAAAATCCAATGTGTGATTGTTGGGACTATAGTTGCGGCAACAATGGGCTCATTAGCGTGATTCAATGCCCAATTTTTGTATTGATTTTACCAATCTCTATTTGGTAAATATATAAACTATAAAGTTTATTTGCACCATCAAAAGTAACAAGTGGCAATATACCATTGTCTCAAAAGTTTTAGTTTTGTTAGACATTCTATTTTTTATTTTTTATCCGTTTTTCGATAGTCACTTTGAGGTCTGATAAACTCAGAAAAATTTACTTTGAAAGTGTATGATTCTTTGTTTATCTATAATCATGGTATTACCGTTAATCAATGAATTTTAGAGTCTGACTAATTTATTTGAATTCATGCTGAAAAACATTATTCTCTCATTCATGTTCTCATGGCATTATAGTTCGAGATTTACCATCAATGTTTTAAGGTTCGATTAATCCAACTTTAGGGTGTTGATTCTTCTACGTTTACAATATTGTAGGTTCGCGATTCAAAATTAGACAAGGTGGATTTGATCACATCTTTTACATCTATACTTAGAATTAATCGAGTTGCTTATATTTCCTATTTAATTAATTTTTTTTTAAAAAAAAGATACAAACACAAGCTACCATTCAAGAAAAAGAAGGATATACATGAGAATATTACAAAATTGTACTATGGCTTGAGCCAATATACATACATTACATATACATATACATAGAGTGGGAAAATAATATAAAATCTACTAAATTGAGTCACTATGTAATAACCCTAAAATAAACATGCCAAAAATCCAAGCAATTTTGGGCAAAATAAAATAAAAAACAAGGCATGATGATGACTCTACTTGATAGGTTAGTTAGTAATACTAATATTTGGTGAACAAAAAAAAAAAGGAATAAAATAAATTTTCTCCCTACTCCTATAATTAATTAATCCTTCCAACAACATATTTAATATTTTTTTTTCTTTTCTCCAAGAATATATGCACTCACACACCAAAAGGAGACTTAGACATGTTATGAGCTTTTGTCAAATGTGGGGTCATGAGTCAACCGTTGTTTGAAGATGACGGGTGCACCATATTGAGGATGAAGTAGCATCAGCACGGTTGGGGCGTGTTTATATTGTGGCGATAATCGTAAGACGTATCGCTGAAGTATAATTGCTAGAGTCAACTTAGTTTGTAAGATCGCTAAGTTCTGACCTATGCATTGTCGTACTCCAAGCCCAAATGGAATGTACCCCACAGGATGCTTAGCGGCTCGAGCCACCCCTTCGGAGAATCTACTAGGGTTGAACTCGTTTGCATCGTTACCCCATATAGCTTGATCGTGATGGATCGCTAGAATCGGAATCAACACTTCCGTCCCGAGAGGGATTTTGCATCCTCCGAGATCCACATCAGCCTTTGCCCTTCGAATCGTCGCGACGATCGGAGGGTAAAGGCGCAAGGACTCATTGAGTATCATGCTCAGCTGCAACACCAAATCATAGCTCAATCAGATAAATAAATAAATAAAAAAAATCATAAAATTAATAAAAAAAATTTTATGACAATGACAGCTTTTCAAAATTAATGTTGTACTTAGCTTCTACTGGTGATTGAATCCACACTAATAATTTAATAATTTGCAAGTACAATTAGCAAAATACTCGATATTTACATCAAATTAATTAGTTAACTATAGTCAACCGATATACATGACTCCTTTTGTATCATTTTGTATAATGAACATTCCTGATTATAATTAGAAACAATTTAACTAAAAACTTTCAAAATTTATTCGATATAACGAAGAGATTGCACGTACCATTTTAAGCTTGGCAAGATCGTCTTTGGAAGGTATGGCACGTGAGCCGCACACTTTGATCACCTCGTCGCGAGCTAGGTCTTGCCATTGTGGATGCATAGCTAGTAGCACGGTCGTCCACGTCAGCAAATTCGACGTCGTTTGTTCACCAGCAAAGAAGAAAGTCTTGCATTCTTCAGCAATATCATTTGGTGTGATCATGGAGGGATTATTATTATGATTATTATTATGATTGTGATTATGATTATGTGTAGAAGAATTATGATGAATTGGGCTGTTAATGGATGATGATAATTGTAATGATTCCTTAATACTTGCTTGGATCATAAGGCCCAATAAGTCTTTTGGCCCATTGTTTTCTTGCATTTCATTCTTATCCCAATTATCTGTCCTTTCTTGAATTAACCTCATTAGCAACTTCTTAACCTCCGTGTCAAGTTTCCACGATTTGATGTTTCGTTTCGTCGGTAGGAACCTATTGGCCGAAAAAAAAAGGAAAAGAAGTTAGCATGTACTCTTTGATCATACTAAGTAATAACGAAAGAACTAGGGTTTACTGGTTATTTTTCATGCGTCGCGAATCTTCAAATATAATGATAATGTAAAATTCCATTTATGTAAAATGTACAAAATCCCTAAATAGCCATTTTTTCAAACCCTAGCCACTTTTTGCCTTGTTTTTTTTAAATAAATAGCCACATGGAATTTGAAACTCCGCGACAATGGCTATACTAGTCCAATGAATTAACGGGGACGAAACTTAAAGAGGGATATCGAAAGAGGTCATACGATACGAGGGATAAAAAATAATTAATTTGCACCTGTAGCCAGGTATGAAGACTTTCTGAAATGCTTCAGCAGCAAGTACCATTTGTTGAGCTTGTAGCCTAAAAATAGCTTTTCCTTGTTCATAACTATGGCCAAAAGCTGTTTGAGCTACGATGTCTTCTGTAAGAGTTTGAAACCACTCTGATACTTCGATTTCAATCTCTCCATTCTTTAAATTTGGTGTCAATTTGTCCAACATTTCAATCACTTTGCTAGCTGCCCCTGGTACTAACAACTATACAAAAAAAAATTAAAAAAAAAATAATCAACACACACTTTGTTAAATGAAATAAGAATCTATAACATGTAGAGTTACTCTTTTTTTCATCCCATGTATTTAAAAAATAGCCACTTTCAAGAATTTCAAAATCCTTGAAGGAAAATCGATAATAATGTCTTGAGATTTACTTGTGAAATTCGAAACTCTAGGACAATGACAATTTTCAGTGACATGGAAGAAAAAGTGGCTAGTTGATAAAATTTTGCAGATAGCCACTTTTAACTCCGTGTATTTGAAAACTAACCTATATCCTAGTATTTTAAAATCCACAAGTAATTTCACTTGTCAAATTTTAAAAACTTCATCATTTTCCAACCGCCGAAAAGTGATTAGTGTTATTTTCATTCTGAAGGCTCGAACTTTAAAAATGGTGAAATAAGAAACGAAATTTGAAACTTACTTTAAGATTTTCCATATGGAAAGTAGGGGTAATAATTTTCCTATGATGAGCCCATTTTTCACCTTTTAGACTTAGAAGACCATCTCCTTCAAGTTGTTTAATCAATGGATGAGCTTCATTTTTCTCATAAAATTCAGATTTTGTAGTGAAAATTTCTCTAATAAGATCAGGATCAGCCACAGCCAAACGTGGTGTTGGCCCAAACCACACTAAAAATGTTGCACCTGTAAAAAAAAAAATTTACTTAAAAATCGTCGATAAAAATAGTCGATAGATGTATAATACTGTATACTAATGTATATTAGCTACCCATTGTAATCATTTTCTCTGATTTCTCATGTAATCGCTCAACTAATACTTACTATTATTATTACTACGATAATAATAATAATAATTCACTACAAGAAAAATGTGAATTACATGGAGATTCTATGGATTTTCATACTAATCCCCATATAATTCACATCACTAAGATAATAATAATAATAATTCACTACAAGAAAAATATGAATTACATGGAGATTTTTCCGAAAATTAGTAAGAAAATTTTCATAAAAATAAATTTTCTATGGATTTTCATACTGATCCCCATATAATTCACATCACTAAGATAATAATTATAATAATTCATTACAAGATAAATGTGAATTACATTAAGATTTTTCTAGAGATTAGTATGAAAATTTGCAAAAACTTTCTATGAATTTTCATACTAATCCCCGTATAATTCACACTTGAGTGATCGTATGAGTAATCAATTCGAAGAAAAAAAAACAAAAGAGTAATAATGAGAAGGTGAAGAATTATACACAAAAATAGAAATGACAGAAAGCAGTATGCATTTATGAACAAGTTAAACACAAAAACAGTAAAGAAAAATGAAAATTGGCAAAATCAGTGATTCAGTATTTTCAGAGAAGATGGATAAAATGTATGGACCCTACAAATACAATAAAACAGAAAAAAAAAAAGGCACTAACAAACATTATAAAAACTTCATCATCAAGAATTATAAGTTACAACAAAATCTAAAAGAACCATAAGGACAAAAAAATGAAACAGAAAAAAGAGATAAAAGTTCATGAAAACCCCATGACTATGATGTTCCAAAACATCAAAATTCTTTTTACAAAAAATTGGACCACAATAAATGAATAAATAAATTAAAAAAATTAAATAAATAGAAATTTAAATTTATTTCTGCAACAATGTTCTGAAACACTGAACTTCACAACTCCACCAACTCATCAATATCAGAAAAGAAAAAAAAGAAGACATTTTTAATTAAAGAAGTAAGTACAAAACAAGAAAGCCAGCTTTCAACACTTCAACTCAACAAACAAAAAAAAACTATTTTTTGTTTAATTAATCCTACTTTAATTTGTTTCAACAAAATTCCAACTTTTCAAGAAAGCTTAAAAAAACACAAAATTTGCAAAAATAAAAAATGTACACTTTCTAATAGTATCAAGAAAGTTACAAAAAGACTTAAACTTTTAAATAACCCAATACTCAAAAACACAAAATTTGCAAAAAATAAAATAAAATGAACACTTTCTAAAAAAGACACAAACTTTATAACAATACTAATAACCCAATACTCAAAAACACAAAATTTGCAAAAGATGAACACTTCTTTTAAAGAAAAGACTTAATCTTTACAACAATACTAATAACCCCAAACCTCAAAAAAACACAAAATTTTGCAAAAAAAAATATGAAAACTTTTGAATGGTATCAAGAAAGTTAAAAAAGACTTAAACTTTATAACAACCCAACACTCAAAAACACAAAATTTCCAAAAAAAAAAGAAAAGACTTAAACTTTATAACAATACCAATAAACCCCAACCTCAAAAAACACAAAATTTGCAAAGAGAACACTTAAAAAATTTTATCACAAAAAAAAATTTAGAAACTTACCATAAATTTTCTTCCAATGATGATAGAATGAAAGAACTCTTGGTAGAATATTGTGTGATAAAGGCATAGTTTGAGAAGAAGCCTTTAGCATTAAACTAACAATTTCTTTAGCATTTCCAATGAAAAATTTATAAGGTGGACCTCTAATACCTTGTTTAGCAAAATGTTTTTCAATTTTTCTTGGTCTTAACCATAAATAACCAAAAACTCTTATCATTAAAATTGAAAGCAACAAAATTACTCCAATAATCTTCAACAAATTTTCCATTTTTCTTTTTCTTTTCAAGTTTGTGTGATATGGTTTTTATTTTTTTGTGAGTGTGTTGGTTCTTTTTAAATGCAAAAAACTAAAGCATACAAAGGAAAAGAGAGAGAAGTTTGTTTGGCAAGGCCAACGGCGTAGGGGCCGCCATTGGAATTATAAGGGTCAACGAATTAAATAAAAATTAAATTATTTTATAAAAAAAAAACTTTTTAAGACAATATTGCCCTTGTCTTTTTCTAGCTAGTTTTTTTTTCGTCTATTATTCGATATTCACATAGTAATAGTTGAGGGACGTTTTTTTTTATAAGAGATTGAGTTCAGAATATGAAAAAGTTAAAGATATTCTAATATATATATATATATATATATAGTATAAGGGAAAAGGTACTAGAAAAATACTTACTAATTTT